GGTGGTCTCATGGACAAATCACCCATTCAGCTTCCGCAATAGGGTCTGCACCCAAGGGGAAGCAGGGCTTTCGCACCGTGGACCAACCCGTGACGGGATCCTACGCGCGGGACCATAATAGAAACGGTATGAAGTTCGTTTAGTGGCAAAAGGGTTTACACAAGTGTATGGAGTGGATTATGTAGAAACCTTTGCACCAGTTGATAAGATGAATTCCATTAGAGTCCTTTTCTCTTTAGCTGCTAATCTCGATTGGGACCTTCATCAACTAGATATCAAGAATGCATTTCTAAATGGTGATCTTGAAGAAGAAGTGTACATGGTACAACCCCCTAGTTTCTGGGCTTAAGGTGATGAACAGAAAGTGTGTAGGTTAAAAAAACTTGTTGAGTGAGTTGGGATTTGCAGTTGATGAACCTATGACCTTATATTGTGATAACAAAGCAGCCATAAACATTGCTGCTAATCCAATGCTGCATGATAGAACTAAATTCATCGAAGTCGACAAACATTTTATCAGAGAAAAAGTTGTCAAAGGGGAAGTATGTACCCCCTATGTCAGTTCTGAAGACCAACTTGCAGACATCTTCATAAAGGGGTTACATCACTTACAACGTCATGATTTATGTTCTATGTCCCAACTTGAGGGGGAGTGTTAAAAGTCTGTTAGTATATGTTAATAGTCTATTATCATATGTTAAAAGTCTGTTAGTATACTTAAATTAGTACCGCAGGGGTACTGTTGTAATTTCTCCCTTTCTTTTATTTGCTTATGTTGCCTTAAAATAAATACTAAAAGCTGGCGCTGCCAGCCTAACTTTTTGGCTCTCAAATCTTTTTTCTCTCTTCTCTCTTCTCTCTTCCTTCTCTTCTTCTTCTCATATTCTAGATGATAACTTTCAAACAGGGGCCACTTTTTTTTTACCAACAATGGTTCATTGTTTTCAATACAACTCACTGGAAATATCTGCATTTGGCATCAGTTTTCTGTAAGCTCATGAAAGCAATGCTTGATGGCGTAAAAGATAAAACCATTAACACTTATAAGATGCTACAACAGAGGCAGAACTCTTGGTGCTTGTCCCCTCATGTGTGTTCTCCGTCCTATGAGAGGGCAGATCATCAATCATCTCTTTTTATCTTTGCAATTCAGGTCTGGAACCATTTTTTACTCCTTTTTGGGACTTCTTAGTCATTGCCTTCAGATGTTAGTATGCTGTTTTCTGCACAACCTGATTCTTGCTATATAAAAAAGGGGGGAAATTCTATGGCAGTGCACTAGAGATATCATCTTACAGTGTCTGGGATAAAAAAAATGTTATGATTTTGACAAGTCAAAAAATATTTTTTTTTATCTTGTTACAATGAGGACCATCCAATGAGTTCTTATCTGAGAAGAATTAGTGTCCATGAAGTATCTAATGAGGGTCTGGCAGGATATTGCAGGATATTTTGATAGACTGAGTATGGTAGAATGGAGGGCTCTGGAAGGAGGGAAACCAAAATTAAATTTTATCCCTGGCAATCTGGGAGTCTCTGTTTTTTTTTTTTGGGGGGGGGGTGGGGTATTAGAGATGGTTAGTAATGGCAGCATTCCACTCAGTTTCTCAGGGAAATGGGTTTTGGCAACTCAGTGAAAAGCAGAAATCTTGGCTTTACTAACATGCTTGCTCACAGTTGGGCTATGTCTGGATGGAGAGAATTAATTGTTGAAGGAGACTATCAGGTAATTCATCAAAAAAAAAGGGAGACTATCAGGTAGTCATCAGCTGGCTGAGGTCAGAGAGAAGAATTACGTATCTTCAAATTCCTAGTTAGAAAAATAAGAGCAGGTTGAAGACTTCAATGCCATGTTTAGGTGGGTCCCAAGGACAGAAAACAGTGCAGCTGATTATCTGGCCATAAAAGGGGTCAACAAGGATGCTATTGTATTGGGAATGCCAGGACCTGGGTCTTAGTTGTAATGGAGTTTTTTGTTCTATTAACATCAGTCGTAATGCGGCCCTATTTTGCATTGTTAACCATTTTTTTGTTAAACTAAACTGACTTCTTCTATGATAAAATTAACATATGACTGTTGTTTTTCAAAAACAAAAAAATGAAAAAAAACACTTACCGAGGCAGGAATGAAGACAAAGAGGGAGTACCCATATAGGCAAAGTAGGTGCACAAAGCCGAATGGTGCTGAGAAGTATTTTAGGATGAAATACACGGCAAGTGGAACAATGGTGACATAACCATAAAACAAACCAGCTGACCATGTAATAAGTTGGATGTCATAGTCCCACTCTTTGTTTTGCAGTTTGCGTGCTAGGTATGTGACAAATGTTGCAATTGATGCTGCTACAAATATTAATGTAGTACATATCCAAAATGGTCCATACCTGCCCAGAATTTGCTTTTAAAATTATAAGACATTTCATCACCATTACAAAAATTGAGAGTAAATAAAAAAAGACCCTAGCAACTTTTTAACAATTATGAGTTGAAGAATGGTAGAGCTTTCAAAGAGATCCACATGATGGGAATGGCAAGTCCTAGCTATGATTTTTATAGTTCAAATAGTTCAACTTATGTAGGACTTGTCAACTTGAACCTATAATGTTGCAACCGTCATGTGTTAATAACATGCTCTAATCAATTTAGCTTATATGCTTCTTTATTTTTGGGATCAATAGCTTAGCTTATACGCTTCTGGAAAAAAAAACTTTTTTGATCAGTACTTCTGGAAATATTTTTTTAGAACATAAATTTTCATATTCTTATATGTAAAAATTTTTCTAAGTGGCACATCACTTCATTTGGGAACACACGTCACCTTGCACCTTGCACTTCAACTTCTGGGAATCCTTTTCAATTCAGTTGAACTTCTTACTTCTAAAACACTGAACTTGTCATAGGAGATACTCAAATGGTAATGGATTGGATATGGGGCAGATCAAGTTGTACCTGGAGGTTATGCCATCATTAGGGATGCAAGTCTGTCAGGCTGGTTTAGGTTGGGTTGAGGTCCAGCCTAAACCAACCCGACTTTTTTGGGTTGGCCTGGTTTCTTCACTTCATCTTGCTAAAATATTCTTATTTCTTAGACTTAAGGTTAGTAGATTAAGGTTTACCGATTTTAGCATCATTACATGCACAAATACAAAATCTTGAGTTGACAAGCATTAGAATGCATGTTTGAGTCTGAAAATGACCACTCTGGGTCAAAAAATTGCCAAAGGTTAGGTCTATATCCAGTTCATCCCTTCCAAGACCCCAGATAGCTAGGACCAATATTGGGTAATGGCCTTTAATATATTGGATGCATACATGCAACCATAAATACATATATTTTTGCATGGGTTCGACTATGATGCTAGAAAGACATTATATGAAAAAACTTATAACCCATCAACAGACATCATAAAAGTGGTGACCAATCAGGTGGGTTTTCATCAAAATTCACAGGGGGGTTTGATTGGTCAAAGGCTTTCTGGTATCATGTTTTTCTGGCATCATATATTTTACCATTATTGTATAAGTCCAAGTTGTAATCATCAAAAAAAAAAAACCTGGTCCAAGTTGTACCCCAATTCATCATATACTAAGGAGGGGAGAACAACTGCAGGCTGAAACCTCCGTTCATTTGGGTTCATGGGTCCCTTAATTCCTTACTCCTTAGCTGATTTGTCGGCCAGAGCAGGGTTTGAAAGAACTGTTTTTCAAGAACAAGGTAAATTATTTTATTTTCAGGAACCTTTTGGACAGGATAGGATACTTACGCATATTTTTGCACAAGGAAGCCCTCTACTTAGGTTTGAGCTACCCCAGCTCCCAGGCACTCATTGTTATGTCTTTCTAATTACTCCAAGCACTGCTATTCTTTGACAAAATGACGGTTATATATGGTTTCATGTAATTGATAAAAAGTATTTTCCTGAAATTATAGAAATGGTTAAAGATCAGACATCTTACAGGTCTGGGTTGCTAGCAATCTTTTCAGAAAAATTTCCTTTAAATGGAAAGAGTGACTCCTTAACCCTCTCTAATACATCTGAAGTGTCTACATCAAAGTATGGCTTGTAAGCAGCTACCGAGAAGATTCGAAGCCAACCACTTGGCTGAGATTCATCAGAGCTACTACCAGAAACTGGCTTTGAGAATGTATCTACAGCAATTCAAAACAAACACAGTTACAAAAAATAATAAAAAGATGTTAAAGAAGTGAAAGTACTAGCCACTAACCATAATTAAAATAATTGCAAATTACTAAACTGTTCTGATCCATGTACAGTCATTCTACAACATTAAATCCTAAAAAGAATTTTATGGTAAGATTTATCAGCTATTGATTACCTTTATGTACACTATCCAATCCTTCTACAAAATACAAAAAACAGAACTACCATCTTCTAAAACTAATATTCTACTGAAAAGAAAGAATATACAATATAAGATAAGGATTTTCTATGTCTAAGCATGATCTATCTATACAATTATTAATGAAAAACTAGAAATCCAGGGACATGCAGACATCCTTGGCCTTTCAGGGGCATGCAGTAATGAGACATTGACCATCTTTTCCTTTTATCCTGATCTCCCTAATCCTTGCCTATCTAAAAGAAGCATAGTAGTCAATATTTAGAGGAAGAAAAACACTAATATGGGAAGTCTACACTAAAAAGTGGTTGAAGTGGCAATTTAATCAACTGGGGTGACAATGGCATATAAGGGATCTTTGGTCAGCCCAATCCCAAGCACTAGGCTGCTGTCCTGAACCAATTAATCATATTATACATTGCCAATTAAAAATTTCAAATACCATGTATAATTTGTATGCTATGATTTGAACAAAAGAAGAAAGAAAACGCAACCAAATACCCTAACACCTAAAATGAAGGCAACCATTTTTTGCTTTATACAAAGTTTAAATTGTATTACCATATAAGAAGGGCCATTGCCCCATATACAAAAATTACAAGATATGGCATGTATGGCATGCACATCAAATTTCCACCAGAGGAAAAGAAAATAATGTCATGCTAGTTGTCATGAAAGTTAGAAAAATTAAGGTCACTAAGACCACTAATCTGTGAAGGCAACCATTTTTGTTTTATATGTAAGGTATAAGTTGTATTACCATATAAAAAAAGGGCATTTCCCCCATATACAAAAGTAAGAAAATATGACATGTACAACATGCACATCTAATCTCTTGCTGATAAAAAACAAAATATGAACATCTAATCTTATTACAAAATTAAAAAAAAAAAAAATTTAAGGTCCCTGAGATCTTCTGAAACAGGTTTACAAGAATAAGCCAAATGCTCCACTTTTGTAAGGATGGACAACTTAAAGCACCTATGTTCTCAAATATATGCCTGCTTATTTCACTCAATAGGCTCCACCTAATAGCAAAGAGGGCAATCTTGTTTAGCTCTAGACTGTCCATAAATAAACATTCATATACACATTATAGAAATTGTTAGGGAATATCAACCTATTCAAGGACCTCACCTAACAGCTTAAGCTTTTAGGTTGAATGGTTCTTTGAGATGGTACAGAGCCACTTTGACCAAGTGGTCTAGTGTTCGATCCTCAATACCTCCATTATAATTATTTAAGTTTCAGCACAAGATATGGGTGGGCCTGTGCTTGTTCACACTTCAAGCCCAATGGGCTTTCGTGTGTTAGAGAATATCAACCTATTCAAGGACCTCACCTAACAGTTTAAGCTTTTAGGTTGAATGGTTCTTTGAGAGAAATGTTACAGTGAATAATATAACATGGGATATGCAATGCCTGTATGTAACTATGTATTATAATGCAATATGCATTACATACATCCCCACACCATGTATAACAATTTGGTAATATCCACCTTAAATACATGTATTAAGTCCCAAAATCATTTCTGGGTATCATAGATCAGAGTTGGTAAATGGATTGTATTTCCTTGGGTTGTCAACTATTTTATGCATTAGGCCCCAATACTAACCTTAAGTTCATATTTTACATGTTAACACTAACTTTTTAACAATTCTAATTATTAAAATAGCATTATTACCCAAATCTGTTATCAAATGTACTTTTGATCCATGCAAAATGCTACTGATACACTGACCAAAGTTACCATCTACCATCCTATACATTAGAATGGAACTGATTCAAGTATGCTGTTCATTTTGTAGGGAAACAAATGAAAGCATCAATTACCTATTTGTATCTTGGAAGCTTAGAAGAAATCTTTCCACCATAAGATTATCCTCCTCAAATTAACTCGAATATTTGCACAACCTAAGGAAATAAAATTCATTTGCCAACTCTGAGCTATGATACCTGGATAACCTATACATGCCAAGCTTATTGGTGTTGGACACCATACTTACCAGATATGACACTGGATATTGCATGGACATTTCTAGATGTACTCTATGGTATTAACACTTTTAAAATAGGTAAAATGGTATGTTTTAACATATTATAGTATAAAAATCTGTACATGTCAGAAATTTAAATAAATTTAGCAATACTACGGGATACCTGAACCCATAACTGTGTCTCAGATTTCAGGTAATGAAGAGTTGTATCCCCATTTCTGATATTCATGTCTGTGTCCATAACTGTATCTGGGCATCCTAGATTTGAAGTAAATCCTTCTTTATAAATGAATACTGAAAATGCGTAACTTGTTCTCTAGGCCATTACCCAATGTTGGTCAACATCATTTGGAGTCCTTGGAGGAGTAGACTGGATGCAAAACCTAACATTTGCTTTTTTTCTTTTTTTTTTCTTTTTTGCACAAAATGGCCACTCTTAAACTTGGACCTGCATTGTTATGCTTGTCCTCCTGATATTTTACTGTTTTACCAAGCAAACTTGCTCCTAAAGGAAACAAATAGCAAAGAAAAGCAAAAAAGTTCCCATTCATAATTGAAATAACTGCATCAGATCTTCAAAAGTTGATATACAATTTGGAACTATTCCTATAATAGTATGGTTTTTTGTCTGGTGTTAGGTGCACTGAATCTGAATGTCCTGCATCACAAGGACTTTTCTGAACCATAATTCCTTATCTGGTTTTATAAATATCTTAAGATCTAATCTGAACTTATATTGTGAGAAAGACTTTAGAGTACCATATCGGAATGTTTCTAGAGTGGGTAGAAAATTCATAATAGATGATCTCCTTACAATATATACATTTTCTTGGACAAATTATGGCTTTATGCCATTCCACATTGTCTGGTTATGTTTGATAATCAGATGTTATTGTAGTTCTAGGATGAAGTGCAGAACAATGCCAACTGCTAATGAAGTGAAAAATGTATAAATTCCCTATATGGGCAATGCTAAATATTTATAGCTGCAAAGGAGCAACAAGGAATATGACATTTTTATGTTTGTACTATAACAGTAGTTGAACAAACCAAACATTGGGACTTGGTGAAGTGGCCCGGTGTTTTTCCATAACCAGACCAAAGCCCTCATCTTAGTACATTAAGGTAATAAGAGAACCACGTTAACAAACTAGTGTGATTAGATTTGCTCAGAGCTCCCACCATATGCAAATTGTAACTCCGAATACCTACCAGATGGTGCAACTACAAGTTCAGAGCTCCCAATGTGGATGCAATTTTCAGAAACAATACTGCTGGGAACACTAAGAGCTCAAAATAGTCAATATTAGAAGCTACTAATTGAAATTTTAAAATCCATGCATCATCTTTATTTCTTTGGTGGTCAACCTGCTAAACAAGATTCCCCACCTAACTCATGTTTATTCAAACAGTTCACAGCGAAGCCTCCAACACAAAAATCCGGTTCTTCTTATAGGACTGCAAAAGATTAGGACCATATCCAATCCAACCATCTCATGAGCCCAGATAGCTGGGGCCAACATTAATGACCTTACAGGTCTGCACTTTGGTTATATCTTGAAAACTTGAAAATTAATCAAGGAAACATCAAATGTTTATTGAGACGAATTAAAATGATCTGGTTTTATCTCCGTTATGGTTTTAAACAAGGTACCTAAGTTCTAGTTTTCACAAGGATCAGTGAGCAACAACTAACACCGCCTTTCTCGAAAGTATGAATTTACCCAAAGAAAAAACAAAAGGGAAACTCAACAAAGAAACAAGATGCGCACCATCAGCATCACGCGGGGGCCGAAAGCCACCGGAAATCTTCCCTTGTGTTTCGGTAGGTGGAAACGTCTGAAGATTCGACTCTGCATCCATATACCATCGCATGAACTAATAAGAAACACGGAATTAAAGAAAACGATAACCAAAAAAACTCCTAGACAAATTCGAAGAATGGCAAAAGGAAAAATATGAGAAAAAAAAAACTTAACCTGCGAATTTGACGGTCACAGGAGTAGGATCTGGAACCGCCTGCAAATAGAAGAAAACCGGTAAACAGAGATCTAATGATTTTCGAAACAAAACGTGGAGGGAGAGAAGAAAATGCGAATTGAAAATGACGAGGTTAATGGGATGATAGAATGTAGAATAATTACAGGGACGGATCCAGAAACTTTGTGGTTGTCGAGACTGGTATAGCCACTCGACATCATCTTTTCCCGACTGGAAATCGCGGGAAAACCAAATCCACCTCTGCTTTCTCTTTTCTTCTCGGACGGATCCTTCTCACTTCTCAGTGAGCGAAAGCAATGAAACTCCCCAACGGCCAAACCTGTAGGCTGTAGCTGCAGGGCCGCAGTCCCAGACCCCACTCCTACGTGGCGTCCATCAAGACACTGGATGAGTATAACGTCGTCTTCCGATTCTGAGAAACCGTGCGCAAAATAGGCAGTTGAAATAACACGTGGCAAGAATACGAGGTAGGTCCCACGATGACCCCACTTAAGAAAGATCCTGATTAAACCATATTGCGGGTCAAGGGTCCACTCATTAATGGTTCGTACCGAGTTGAGGGAGCCGGACCATCCGGTCTTGTATCCGTTCGATGACCGTTGGTGTTCAAAATTTTCCTTATTACGATGGAGTGTTCAGAGGGAAGCCATGGCAAGGCAAGCTATCCCGCGTATCGAGACTGCATATTACGCCATTCTCAACCATCTAAACCCAGCCACAGCTTCTTTCTTACAAGCCCAGCAAGCTCACGCCCACATTCTCAAAACAGGGCTCTCCAACCACGCTCACCTTGCTACCAAGCTTCTCTCTTTCTATGCGAACCACCTCCATTTCAATGAAGCAAGTCTGGTGCTCGATTCAATTCCCGAACCTGATGTCTTCTCCTTCTCCACTCTTATATCAGCTTTCTCGAAATTCGATCGTTTTGACCAGGCCCTTCGCCTCGTTTCTCAGATGCTCTCCCATGGCCTCCTGCCAGACAATTTTGTCCTCCCTAGCGTCCTCAAGGCCTGCGTGGGCCTATCGGCCCTCGAAATGGGGCGCCAGGTTCATGGTCTTGCATACGTGACCGGGTTTGCTTCGGATCCCTTTGTACAGTCCTCTCTGATTAACATGTATGTTAAATTCGGTGATATAAGAAATGCCCATAAAGTTTTTGATGGAATGACACATCGAAATGTAGTTAGTTGGAGTGCTATTATTGCGGGTTATGCTCAACAAGGATTTGTAGGTGAGGCCAAGGAGCTTTTTATTGAGATGAGGGATTCAGGGATGGAACCCAATACAATATCTTGGAACGGTTTGATTGCCGGGTGTAACCATAGTGGCTTCTCAGCTGAGTCGGTGGCTTTGTTCCAGAAGATGCATTTAGAAGGTTTTAAGCCTGATGGTATTAGCATTTCTTGTTCTCTTCCGGCAGTGGGGGACTTAGGGGATGTGAAACTGGGAGTTCAGATCCATGGTAACATAATCAAGCAGGGTCTTGGATCGGACAAGTGTGTGGTTAGTGCACTCATTGATATGTATGGGAAGTGTGGTCACACGTTAGAGATGTGGCAAGTGTTTGATGAGATGTCAGAAATGGATTTGGGTTCATGCAATGCTCTAGTTGCTGGACTCTCTCGCAATGGCCTTGTTGATGATGCATTGAGGATATTTAGGCAATTTGAGGCCCAAGGAAAGGAATTGAATGTTGTTTCCTGGACATCAGTTATTTCTAGTTGCACACAAAATGGGAAGGATATTGAAGCTTTGGAGCTTTTTAGAGAGATGCAGATATCTGGAATAGAACCCAACTCTGTAACAATCCCATGCTTACTTCCTGCCTGTGCCAACATTGCAGCCTTGATGCACGGGAAGGCAGCTCATTGCTTCTCCATTAGGAGGGGGATTTCCTCTGATGTATATGTTGGTAGTGCTTTGGTTGATATGTATGCCAAGTGTGGCAAAATTGGAGATGCACGGAAATGTTTTGATGGAATGCCCACAAGAAATTTGGTCTGTTGGAATGCAATTGTGCGTGGATATGCTATGCATGGAAAGGCTAAGGATGCTATGGAGTTGTTTGATTTGATGCAGAGGAGTGGACAGACACCCGATTTCATAAGCTTCACTTGTATCCTCTCTGCTTGTAGCCAGCGTGGTCTAACAGAAGAAGGATGGTACTATTTCAATAGTATGTCCCAAGACCATGGCATTGAAGCTAGAATGGAGCACTATGCATGCATGGTTACCCTCCTAAGTCGTGCAGGAAGGATAGAAGAGGCTTATGACATGATTAAGAAGATGCCATCTGAACCAGATGCTTGTGTTTGGGGAGCTTTGCTTAGTTCTTCCAGAATTCATGGTAATGTGAGCATGGGCAAGACTGCTGCAGATAAACTTTTCAAATTAGAACCAAGTAATCCTGGAAATTATGTTCTTCTCTCTAATATTTATGCTGCCAAGGGCATGTGGAGTGAAGTAGATAGAGTCCGGGATATGATGAAGGACATGGGTTTAAGGAAGAACCCTGGTTGCAGTTGGATTGAAGTCAAGAACAAGGTACACATGCTTCTGGCAGGGGACAAATCACACCCACAGATAACCCAAATCATAATGAGATTAGAAAGATTGACTATAGAAATGAAGAAGTCAGGTCAACTTCCAATTACCAACTTTGTATTGCAAGACGTGGAGGAACATGACAAGGAGCAATTCTTGTGTGGGCACAGTGAAAAATTGGCCATTGGTTTTGGGCTTCTAAACACTCCACCAGGTTCTCCCCTTCGAGTAATCAAGAACCTTCGAATCTGCAGTGACTGCCACACTGTGATAAAATTTATATCCAGCTTTGAAGGGAGAGAAATTTTTGTTAGGGACACAAACCGCTTTCATCATTTTAAAGATGGGGTATGTTCCTGTGGAGACTATTGGTAAAGGATCTTTATGGTTAAGTGGGATAGGCATCTTGGTCATTGAAAATCCTATATTTTGGCATTTGAGATGGATTTATTACCCCAAGCAGCTATTCTTCAGTTTTGCAACATCATATCTGAAGAGATGGATACCTGCATTCTTTGTTGGCCATGTGTAGGGCATCAGGGCTGATGCATGAATTTGATCTTACAGGAGGGAAAAGTTGCATGTAATTAAATATACCAATTATTGATTTCAGTAGTGAGAAAAACTTTCCATATTAGACCCATCATTGATTTCAATAATACTTTGCCTTGAGGGAAGGGTGGGGGGAAGAAATAAGTACCGCCTTGATTTTAATGGACTAGAGAGATCTTTATCAATTGAAATGTTCACTGGAGGTGGAGGTCATTTCATTACTTAATAAGAATATTTCCCTCCAATTTCAAGGTCATGTCTCAGTGCTATCTTTGATCCAAAGCTGGGAACTCAACAGAAATATTTGTTATTTGAAAGCTTTTGGGGTGTTGGTATGAGGCTGGCATTTTAACTATCCTCTGCTAATGCTACCTGGGGAAAGGATTGTCAAACTCAACATATAGAAATGCAAGATGTGTGGAGTTGATTAGGAACTGGAAAGTCTAGAATGGGACCTTTTTATTTGGGTTCTCCAAATTCTATGGGTATTGTACAGGTACAATAGCAGATGAATGCACAACTGCACACCATTGTGAATGGCGTCCATTATTTAACAAATTAGGTTTCCAATTGGTTGAAATTGAAAATAGTTAGTTAACAATCATCAACATAATTGTTTTTGATCAGCAGCTATCTTTGAATGTATTGTTGGTGAGGCCTTTATATGAGCAACTCAAGGTATTATTATGTTGGCCATGGATTCAGAGAACTGAATAGTGGCTCTCCTTAAGACTCTTACCGGAAAATACTCTCTGATTACTGTTTGATGATGCAACTATCTTTTGCTGTCAAACATTCAGATCAGATTGCTTTTTCTGCTAAATTTAGCATTGGAAGATCTCTTATTTTACAATATTCTTGTGATTGATTCAGGTTGAAGTTTCTCTCTCCACTTTGCTTAACATTCATTTATATTTATCACTCATAGAAATATTAGCCTTTTTTTATGGGGGGAGGGGGGTGGAGGAAGGTGCTTTCCAACTTTAAGGGACAAGGGTGGGGAGGCCTGGAGGGCCTTTTGGAGCTTTTTTTCATCCCAAGTGCTCCCGTTTTTATCTTTTTCAGGACAAAGAGGAACTACCATAACCGGTTCATTTAATTTTTCTGATAACTACTTTTACATGGATTTCTATGGAATTCCCATGCTAAAAAAGGAAAAAGTACACTCTGGGCAGCAAGTATTGATGTATCGTGAAGGGAGAATTGATTTTTTGTAGTAGACACAACTGAAGTCAAGTTGAAGTTTCTCTCTTTCTATCTCACCTTAGGCTGTGTTTGGAAACAATGCAACTAAGTGTGAATGCAAATATGTAGAGTGTAAAAAGGTCCATATAAATTGTAAAGTTGGGTTAGTTTTTCACCGACTAATTTACCTTCTTACCAAGCAAACTTTTAGCTGTAATGGATGTAAACACAAATTCCAATAAATCATATGCCTTTTTTTATCAAAAGCCCACTTGACTGCAAATTTACTTCTTTTTTATTGATGTACTTTTACATGTCATTATCAATGTATATGTGCATTGAAAAATGTGTTTTTTGTCATTTGTCAATATATAAATGCAATGTTGCCAAACATAGGCAAAAGTGAACCAGAGTGCAAATTTACCATGAATCAGGATTTACACTCCATTTGCATTATTTCCAAACACAGCCTTAGGTGTCGTTGTCCAGGATGTTAAATGGACCACCATTCTCATTTATATGGTTATTATRGACAGTTGATGCCAATACATGTAATAGTTACACATCTTGACTTGTTACAATACAGGTAAAACAACATCACAAAGATGGTCAGGGACATTCACAAATGATCCATTGGGTGAGCTCAGCTGTACCAGTCCAATAAGTTCTAATAGAGATTTCATATATGTAATTCGTCAATTGTTTCATACAAATAATGGGATTTGAACTGTTCCATGATGTTGACAGTCCATTGCCATGGGAGTTTTAGGGGGTATTCTGTAGTATGGATGAGAAATTGGGTGGTGTGGACTAATCCACACCACACAACAGTCCACAACTGTTCTGAATTGTGGATAGACTGTAAATTGGTCCAGTCCACACCCATAGTGGCTAGGACTATCAATGGGTTGGGTTGATTGGGCCAGTTCTGGTTCTAAGAATTGGAACTGATGGATCGGTTTTGGGTCTTGATATAGGGTCCCAATTACTATTGGTTCGAAACCAGTTCCACCTAATGTTGAACCGATTCAGACCCGATCCGATATATGATGTATAATATATAGAGAGAATATTTAATATATATTAAACATAAATATTTATTTWTTATTTATTATAAATGAGTATAAAAGTAATGAATAAAAAATGGAGTGTGGACCGACCATAGACATGAGAAATTGTTGCTGAGATTTTGGGGTGTGGACAGAGCCAGTCCACATTAGTTCCACCTACAAGCAATCGAACAGTGTGTTCACCCCTTGGCGTGGACTAAAATGGTCCATCCACGAAATAAACACGTTTTCAAACACCACATTAATCTTTTAAGATAATGTACAAAACAGTTCTGACATTTTTTTTTCTCTTTTTGTTTTCTGGTTAAAAACTTAAAATGACAAAAATTTCATTAAACACAAAACAGATTACAGGAGACAAAGGGTCTATTCAAAATTGCTAAGCTTTTCTTGGTTTGTGTGAATCTCACGTGTTGGGGGAAAATCATTTTGATGCTTTCTCTGATGAGGCATATGTTTACTGTTCAGCTTATATGGTGTCTAGTAAAAGCAATAATAAACGTTGTTCCGATTTTCAAGAGAAATAGTACAAAACGTTTCGCAGATAAACCGCAATGCACCTATACAGCCCCTCTCGACCCAAATGATCTTCTACCCACTTTGGGCACATAAACAAAAAAAAAAAAAGAACGAGACTCCTCTAGACCCTTTTTGTGCTAGAACATGAACGACAGGGTTTGTAGATCTTTTAACAAAAGGGAAACAAACAGATTGATATTTGAGCGTTGAGCTTGTCTGATGCCCGGGTGGTGCTAAACCCATAAGTGTAAAGCAGGTTCAGTTTGGCAAGAGTACAAATACAAATATGTACACTGAAACATTGTATTTGCACTCTTTCCAAACTGACCCGCAGCATCAACAATATATATTCTTCTTATTGAGCTACAAGCAAGCAACTTGTTCGACAAAAACAAAAAAACCAAAGCAAATGTTCAAGGCATAGGATTCATCAGACACCACACGCCAAGTGGTCAATGGCGGTGGTAATCTCCTACCATTTCATGTTGATTGACACCACAGGGTGTTCCAGAGAAGAGATGGAAGAAGAGAGGATTGCATATTTTCTTCAAATATAACAAAATGGCTAAAAAGCCATGACTTCAATTAACAAAAGAAAACTACATCTGTCGACATAATTTTCCATCCTCCTTGAATGATTAGATTTGGCTTACAATTCTAGAAATTCTTCCTCTGGGTCGTCGACATCAAAAGCCACATTATTTATAAGAAATCCATGGACACCATACCATTGTTATTATTGAGCGGTTTTTAGTCTAGTCCGTGTAACCAATAGATACCTATGGAGTGCAAGCATGAAGACCCATGTGGTCTTGGTAATCTTCTCCTTGATCATGAGAAGCAAAGCAGAACTCAAGACAGTCTTCAATATCTGAGCCTGCAATCCTTTGAAGAAGCCCAAGAGCCCTTCTTTTCTCCAGATGGCATACAGTGCACCCGACATGGTCTTACGGGGCCTCCGGGACTTCCGTTTAGCTTCCTTGGTCCCATCTTCCTCTTGGTCAGCAGCTTGGATCATGACTTTACATCTGTCCAAATATAGGAGATTGATGAATTCAATGTATTGAAAATTTGAAACCAAGTTCTTTGGAGGAAGGGTCCTGAAAGAAACTATTGGGTTACCTGATTGCTGGATACGTCAAGAAGGTAGCTATGCTCTTTGAGACAGCCCCCAACACGAAAGCTGAGAAAGCAGAAAGGGCTTCCTGGGACGCCTCTGTACCTGCTTTGTTGCTCTGTTTACTCTTCAGAACTCTTTGTTTCAGTTGATCAAATACAGTGTACTGCATCACGTAATTCATATTTTATTCTTAGTTCAACTTCCATTTCTCTACAAACAAAATTCTCTCTATAAAAATTATAGTCAAATAAAAAGAGCAGCCAGTGCACAAGGCTCCTGCCAATGTGGGCAACCTTACCCCTGCAAATAGAGAGGCTGTTTTCAAGATTTGAACCAAACCCTGGTCATCCAGGTCGCAATGGAGCAACCCAACTGTTTGCCAAGGCCCATCCTCAAATTATAGACAAATACCATAACTACAATAAATTATATTAACCACCTAGCAAACGTATTCTTACCACATTGCATGTGGAGAGAAAATGATCCCTCACTTGATGACGGCGGAGCTAGGAGGGACCCAGGGGAGTCCTATGGTCCAGAAATCCGCACACTGAATACATTTATCTATGTTAAGTTTCCTCCCTCCCCTCACTTCTCACCCAATGGTTGGCCCCCCTACGGCCCATCCATAAGTTTTGCCCCCCCCCCATAAAAATTTCCTGTCTCCGCCCCTTCTTGACGTGTCCCATCTAAGAAAATCTTCCTCATTCCTCATTTATCATGATCATCTAGGGTGTTGAGCAATATGATTCATTTTGTTGATGCGACAGTTGTTTTTGTTTTGAAAAACAAAATCATGCACATTGGCAAACACCCCCTTAATGTATCAAGTTATTTTGAAACTTAAAAAAAAAGGCATCTAATACACCAACAATAAAAATCAAGACAAAATGCAGGTTAGGAGTCAACTGTCAACTGTCAACATTTTGCATTAAGTATTTACCGATTCGTCTCCTAGAGGGAACACATCAATCAGACAACCAGCATAAGCATTCTATAACTAAAAGATATCGTTGACTACCTGAATAGCAGGGTTTGACGTCAAAAGAAGGGAGATGCCAAGTCCGTCAAATGCCTCACTCCAACTTCCCTCTGAAAGGGTTTCCAAAAGCCCCTTGGATTTCCCAAAGGCACTTGTCTGCATTCTTGATGATGCTGTATCCAAGGGCTGTACAGTAAAATCAGAAATCAGGGAAAAAATAAGATATCAATGTAGTGGTGTATAGAATCTCAATAATGGGCGTCAAGCACCCAGATAACAAATCTAGTGCAAGTCAATATTAAATGGAATTACACATTTGAGTTACCAACCACAGATCCTAATCATGCTATGTATATGTAGGCTGCACAACACATTAAAATGCCAACTTTGAATATTAAAAAACCAGATACCATGAGTTATCAGATTTTTGGGATCAGAGTCCATGTTCAACTACTAGAACTGTGGCTATAAAAAAAATCGGTGCAATACCAAATAGATAAGAAAAAGATTTACTTGTGTCACTATGGCAGTGCAAGCCCCAGCAGCAGCAGCAACAATCAAATTGGCTTTTGTTCCAATGGACTTTGCTCCACTCCTCCTCAGATACAACCTTTTGAAATAGCTATACCCATAGAAATAGATAAACTGTGATATGAAAGACTGCAAATTCTTGGTTCTAAGGCCCTGGTACAATGAAAGAACCTGTCTTTTGGAAACTGCTTCCCACAGAACATCTGAGAGGTTCCTATATAAATTGCAATCAATTAAAAGAGTCATTATAAAAATATTAGGGGTTAATTATTTCCTTAAGCTAATCTATTAGCCCATCTATCATACTTTCCAGATCGTGGACTATATTCCACTCATGAGAAGCAAGACCAATTCAGCAGTTCAGAGAGATGAGAAGGCAACAAAGTACAACTTCTGCTAAAGAAGAGTCAAATAAAATATATAGCTCTCCAAAAGACAAAGGCCAAAAATCCAAGTCACAAAACTTCTGAAAAGACCAGTTGTAGTTACACTATACACTCTTGGGTGAATGAAACATTATAGCCCTGTAGAGAAATGAAGCAATGAAAACTTTCTCTCTCTCTCTCTCTCTCTCTATTTTTGTGAGAGAAGCAATGAAGAGTAAGAACCCATCCAAAATGTCTTCCATCAAGCAATGCCATCTTGTAAGATAAAAACCACAAGTATCATCCACCAAATAACATTAAGAGATATAGAACCAGAGTTAACCAAATATAGTGCAGGATGCAGCAAGATTATATTTCAGGAAAAAGTAGTAACTTTAAAGAGAGAAGTCCTTCTAGACCGTCTACCCCTGCTAGCCCAGACTGCAAGAGAACTCCCAACATGTGTTTCTTATATATATATATATATATATATATATATATATATATATATATATATATATATATATATATATATATATATATATATATATATATATTCATTGTCTTCATGCACAGAAGCTTTAACGTTCAGGGTTGAAGATATAAAAAGTTGCAAAAGCTATGCAAGTTCTATTTCCTTTCTCAATGATACAATAGCAAACATTTTTTTAATAAGAAGTAAAGTATCAATTCATTCAAGAAAATAACCTTCTTTGCTTCCGCTTACAATGTTTCTTTGACATCAACAGCAAGAACAAATGACCTTTTTCATATGAAAATATATAAAAAAATAAAGATTAACAAAACAGTTGGAAAAAGATAGAAAGTCCCTACTATACCACACAAGGTCTGCAAGAAAGAAACATGAAAATGCACAAAAGGTGGATCACTTCCCTTGAAAACCAGGGGATGTTCTTTTTGCAGTCATCAATACACAGTTCCAATTGCCCTTGAATCACCAAAACCAACTTCCTTGGAATCTTTACTGGAAAATGACCAAAACCTCATAGAGATGGATTGGTACAGTTCCCAAAGGCCATTTATTCCTCTACACCAGACACCCCAACATATTACTTATAAAAACTTCTTGCAGAAATTCTTCCCAGAGACCGAAGAGTTGTGTTGTCCAGAATGATATTATTGGTTGGAACTTAATACTGGCATAACCCAAGGCACTCAGGAAGATAGCATCCCCAATTAGACCTTTTCTGCAAAAGAATGATGCATCACCTGGCACAATATAATATTTGTACTCTACTTGCATCGCACATATGACTCAACATCTGCATCAGGCAAGTGCATCCTAGTCTTATGTTGTATTGTATCTGAAGTAGGATTTTAGCATTTGACCAAAACATGTTCCTTCTTAGATCAATCACCACGCAATGTTTTTTTTTCAATTTTTCTCCTCATCAATAACAGATCAGTAGTTTTATTAATAAGAGAACAAGAGAGTACACAAATACAAAAGAAAGTTGTCACCAAGGTAACAGAAAAAGAGAAAATATCCTTGTGCTGCTCACCTGCACATTATATGTCACCCCAGCCCAAACAATCATCAATAACCTAGGGAATATGACCCCCAATATAATCCTGCTTAGATGCTCTACTTCTAGCAAGAAAATCTAGTAGAGTATTTGCGGACCTTAAAACCCACGAGAATAAAGCATACACATTCTAAGCCAAAGATACAGCTCCTGTAACGTGATGAAGATACTGCTATCACCATATAACTTTACTGTAACATTTCCTTTATGGCTCCTTCCAAAAATGATCTATATCTTTACTGGTTCAATACCTTCATCCCAAATCCACAACAATAGCAAAAAAAAAAAAAACCAGATGCCTCTTACAAAAATAGTCGTGTACCTTTTCTAGAATTTAGTTTACTCATCAAATGGAAAAGGATATGAGGAGGGAAAGGAAGAATAAGACAACAAAAGGAGGGAAAACCACAATCTTTTAGGTTGTGTTTGATTTATAGGAATATTTGGATTTGGATCCTGCTCCCACTCCCCAGGATTTGAAATGACCACTCTCTCAAGCCATTTTGAGTTCTAAAATATGGAACTGGAAGGATAAAATCATAAAAATCAATATCTTGTCAATTCCAGCCACCAAGGACCTGCCTTAGACATCACCAAAGACTAAAAGCTTATAAGCGCTCACAGCATCAAGCAAAAGCCCCATTGCAAATTCAGGTGGCATTGCAAATTGCATATAGAAAAACAAGGATTAGGCGATTAGCGGTAGCAAAGCCCAGGTCAAAACCTTCATCAGCCCAACCCTGCCCTACATGATTGCAGTTTATGGCCTTTTACATAAGAAACAAAAACCTATTATACTTTGGCAAAGGCATTGAATTGAAGTTCCAACAAGTCAAATAAGCAACTGTACGAATTTTTTTCACATGAACAATGTAAGATATGATTTGTTTCATTAAGAGCTAGGAAATATATCATTCTTACAAGCTCTCCATTTGAAGAAGCATCAACACATCAATGAGCAATAAGTGAAGAACTTTGGTGAGCATTCCTCATCAGATAACATCAAATAATAAGCATGACAAGAGCCCAGAGAAGATATCTTATGCATACATTTTGGAATGGAGAAAGGACATGCTTTGCAAACCCAGTATTAGGCACATGGCATGGTAACAGTCTCAACTCTCAACTCAACTCAGCATTAATCCCAAAGTTTTGGGATCAGCTAACATTACATGGCAACATTGACTTCCCAAAACTTTACAAGGAAAAATATAACAAACAGTTGTTATTTTTTCAGGACATAATGAACTGCTTATATATAGTTGCATGCATGCAAACTGTCTAATCAATAAGCCATCTCCAAAGCACAAAACTACAACAGAAAGCCAAATAAGGTTTATTACCATTCAAGAACCATACAAAAGAAAGTGAAACCCATGATTTTAACCAGAATGAAATAATCCGATAACAGGAATTTTGGCCCAATACTGTAGCCGGATTGCAACAGGAAACTGTCTTTCTACAAAGTTCATCTTTTTGCACCTTAAGGTTCAATAAAGAGTGAACTAATAGAGCCAGGTGTCGAGTGAAGCGGTTGGACCCCAATTGAATAAACGGTTTTTTCTGGTAGAGCTTGGAAAGATCTTATTATGGAACCAACTCATTTGAGGATACCTAGACAACAAACTCCTTACTCCTCAAAAGAGATTCAACCAACTCACTACAATTTCTCTTAATGCCTAATGGGTTTAAAAGGCGGTGTTCAAGCTCTCTAAGAACTTCAGCTGCTTTCTTAAGATAAGGAGAACAAAAAGCTAGACACCAACCATGAGAGCAAACTTGATGTCAGTGGGCATTGGACTGGAGTAATAAGTTTTTTTTATTTTATTTTATTTTTTTTTATCAGTAATGTCAACGGATACTGGATTAACTAACTTTTTTATCAATCCCTTCTCTAGCAAGTTTCTACCATAATATTGACCATCTAGGGGCATTCAACAAATAATGCATACACAATTCTTACAGAATGTCTAGATCTTAGTTGACCTTCTTTACTCTAGACTACTGGGGAAAAAAGCAAATTCTTGCAGAGGAACAAATGACCCGATCTACTTTACAGATTTGTGTGCAAGCATCAACTGGAGTTTGAAAAGGATCAATATAGTAATAAGCAAGAAACTAATAGATCCAACCAAATATGCAAACAAGGTCCCACTTTCTGCTCCAAATACAACTATAAGCTGTCACAAAACCTCTTGGAGTGCACCTTGTGCAAATGGATGCAAACTATGGCCTCATGGTTTATAATTTGCAAACATAATCGAATAAATTAACAAAAATAAATGAAGGCTTCATGGAGCCACGGAAATTAGAAAAAAAGGCAAACTAAATAAAAATTTGAAAAGATAGTGTTATTATAATTTTAAAAAGAAAAGAAAAGAAAAAGGCCCCATGCACAAAAATAGATAAATAAATAAGGCTGCATACAAAAAACAATCTAAATATTGTAGAAACTTAAAAATGAAATATATATATATATATATATATATATATATATATATATATTGGGTGTAAATTTGGACATATAAATAAAGAACCCGATCACGATAAACAGAAACATAAAAGAACCTCATAAAAAGGAAAACCAACATAACTAAGATCATATATTCACGAGGAGCCACCATAATATAAACGAAGAAGCACTTAAAAATCGCAAGACCCAGATCACGGAAAACAGAGAAAAAATCAACACCGACCTGTACTTTTGCTGACCATGTGTTCGAACTTCAGCCTGGTACTTGGTTTTACAGGTATCGAGAGGATATAGAATTGTTGTGCTTAACAGAGCTCCAATGGCTCCCGAAGTTGCCTCTGTTATGGATTCGAGATTAACGGCCATTTGACGAATTTCGAGAAAATCAAGAAAAAAAGGCGAGAATTTTGTAGGAAGAGACGGCCAGTGATTTCCGCAATTTTGGGTTCCGAAGGAAAAATGAAGAGAATCTCAGCGAGTCGGAACGTTCATGATGGACAAAAGAAATCTTGGGTTGGTCTCTCTCTCAGGAGGTAGGCGAGTTGGAGAGGGTAGATACAAATTACAAATGCAAGAGAGAGACCAGCAACTGAAAATGACAGGAACACAGACAATACATATTTATAAAGTGGTGGCATGACAAATTGGCAATGGCATCGTTATTTATATGGGGAATTGGGAAGGGAAAACGTGAGTGAGATGAGATGACTCAGCGCGAATGACCCTAACGGCGTCAGTCGAATGGGCTTTGGCGGTGCCTCGGTTGAAAATTGGGGCACGGGTCTTCTTTGTCTTTTAGCGAGAATTCGAGAACGAGGCACGCAGAGGCAGAAGAAGCGTATCTTCACGGGCGGGGCGAGCTGGACGGAGATGGGCCGGGCTAGATGGACGATCAGACGATTCTTCCAGGGTGGATTCGTTTCGTGGACGTACGTCACGTACCTTCATTGGGCTATGCCCGGGTTTGGGCCGTTTGGCCCATTTGGACTCTAAGAAAACGACAAATAAGTTGGGTTAGTGGGTTTAAATCTGGGAGCAGGGCCTCCAGCAAGGAAACGTTTGCCAATCTATCTGTAACTCTACTCGCGAGTAGAGTTACAGATATATTTTTCCTACTGATTTTACACGTGTGCAGATAAGCTGTGTAATTACCAAATTAACCCATGCGCACAAGAAAAAATACCTGGATATAAACGCGTGCGGAAGCATCGAGGAGAGTAGATTTCGAATCCTACTCGCTAGAGTATAAATTAACTTCCCTTACAACAGTATACTAGTAAAACGCGGTCCATTGTGGGCCCGGACTGTTGTGCTGTATTGGTACAACATGGCCCATCGTAGCCTGGAATCCATTTTTATATTTGGTTTTGAGTTACGGTAGTGAATCCATTTAAGAGAATTAATTTTTTTTAGGTAATCAGTTTAAGAGAGATCAAGTGACGTCTGATCAATTATCAAAAAATGACGTTTGCTCATGCGCAATCTTTTGCAAGGTTTAGGTTGTGTTTGGTTTGATAGAAAACGAGATAGAGAGAGAAGTAAAAAAGTTGAGGGAAAGTTATTAAAGAGAATTTTGAAATACAAATTGATTTGGTTGGTTAGACAAAGGAAGAGAAATACAAATTGATTTGTGGAAAATCCAAGTAGCAAAATCATCATGTCTGAGTTTGATTTTCCTGAATCCATTTTCACCGGGGGATCCATAGAATGGTTTTGTGACCTCTAGAGGTCTAGCCCTAGACCCTAGTGACGACCTTCACCGGTGGGGCAGCTGATATGGCTGAAGTGTTTGGTACGGAAAAATCCGGATTAGCGTTTCTGTTCCTCACACCTAGGGATGGGTATTTGTCCCTATCCACCCTCACATGTTTTTTTTCTTGAATGATGGGTCCTGGGTGGAACAGGTATAATATTAGGCTAAATTCAACCCTCTCTCATATGTATATTGTTGAAAAGCATACAATCTTTATATATTAGGTGTTAAATTTCATAATATTTTGAGTTTTATATAAATAATAACCGATAGTTTATGTGTTTTTTATATGTCTTAATCAAATATTTAGAAAATTTGTTGTTTGTTTATGTTATTTTACTTATTTATTTCTTATATATAATAAGAAATAAAGGGAAATTATATTGGGGGTCCTAAATCCAACTCACCCTTACCCTTGAATGCAGGGAGGATAGGATTGGAGAGGGTTTAGCATTTTCCTGTGTAGGGAGGGTTTGGATTCTCAAAATCCAACCCACTATGGGTTTTGGGGCAAGTAAAGGTTGGGAAGTTTAGGGAGGCAAGTAGGGTCTAAAATTTACAAAACCCTCCCCGAACTTGCCATGTTGCCTTCCCTAATAACACTAATCTCAGATCACTTTCAACGCCCATTCTTAATTGGGCTTGGACTTGAATTTAGGCCTATGGGCTCAGGCTTGGGCCCAAAACAGCTGGCACAATTTTTTTTCTTTTTTTTTTGGAAATTGTCTAAAACTCACATTGCGTTTTCAATATTTCTCTCAAACTCACCACAACTTTTCAAAATGTCAAAAATTCACTGTGCCAGTAAGTTTTTATTTTCCAAAACTCGTCTTCTGTTAGTACACCATTAATGCTTATGATGGAGGATGATTTGACCCGACCTATTGAGATGATGGCACGTGGATCTGACTCAACACGAGCAACAACTTAGTATCATGGCCTGACCACAACTAAGTAACGAGCCTGTAGAGTAGCTCGCTACGCCATAGCTCGCTATAGGGGGAGCTCGCCACAACGCAAGCTCTAGGTCCCCCGAGCTACTGGAAAGGGAATACTCCAAGACTATTTCAGCTCGCGAGCTAGGGAAACCAGCTCGCTCCGGCACCTGGGCAGAAGAACTGCCCCAAAGACTAACCTTGATGAGGGTCACCTCGAAGTACCCCTAAGAGCTTACTACAAAGTAGCTCGTTGCGCGACAGGGTAGTCCACTACAAAGTAGCTCGCGACTAAGCAACGCGACGCTCTCAGGAAGCTTCTATCTGACAAGACCGTACTCGTCAGACTACACCACGTCTCTCGACTAACGGTGCAGTCCCTGCCCATTTGACAGTCTGCACCCACGTCTCTCGACAGATGGTGGCGTGCTTGTCCCTTCAAGACATGTCACTCATCCAAGCGGGTAGTACATTGTAACGATTACCTGCGCAGCCTTGGTAGGTAACGGCTGCGATAGGAGCCCAGTGGCGGTTATGCTTGATTTGGAAAGAACGTCCCTATAAAAGCCCTTTAATCGAGGAGGGGAGGACTCTCACTCTCTCGAGTTTTACTCTGAACTTGATTTCTTACTTCCTCACGAGCTAATCTTGAGACACAGTGATCACGCGCGACCTACACTCTTAGCCTTTCATACTCTTTTCTTCCTCCCAAGCGTTCTAACTTAAGCTTCAGAGTATTCCCACCGAGCAAATCCCCCGGGAATCCTTCTTTTTCATCTTCTTAGGTGTCGTCCGTTGCCTACAAGGAGCCAGTCAGCAGCCAGCTAGGAGTGCCCGGATCGTGCTGCATCATTTGGCGCCGTCTGTGGGAAACGCTTCTAAAAGCCTTCCTCTAAGATTTTATAGTTCCTTCTTCCGAAAAAATCAGCATTCATGGCTTCTTTCAGCAATGCCGGACATGGCACCAGCCATAACGCTTATGGGGGCCAGCCCCAGCTTCCTACTGTCTGTATTGGACAGTTCACCGTCCCCCTCTCCGTGGACGGAGTCTCCAGCTTGAACGTGCCTCTTGCAATGGCACCCGTGGTCGCTCCACTCCCTTCCATAGTTGGGGCAACCTTTGCTGAACCCTCAGTTGTGCCCCCAGCGGCCAGCCCGAACCAGTTGGAGGACTTAATGCAATGCATGCGAGCCATGCAAGCTCAAATGCAACAACTTCAACAGTTCCAACTCTACCAACAACAAGTGTTGCACCAAGTTTCCCAGTATCAGTACCAGCAGCAGTTCCCCTATCTGCCTCAGGCCCAGCCGTCCCTTCCCCCTCGGCATCCGGTCGCAAAGCAGACCAAGCCTTCCCGCCAGAGTGAGCGACCCCGTCGGGGAGAGGCCTCCCAGGCTCAAGATCTTGCCAAGAGCCAAGCTTCCTCCCATAGCAAGAAGGAGAGGCCAACTACCCCCGCCTCGCAACCTGTGGGCAGGTAGGGGGCCTCCCAACCAACCAAGCCTGTATCGCCCCGGCCTTCACAGTTCCAGCTCCCGCTCGCGGAGAACCTGTTCGAGGTCCAGGCCGCAGACTATAGGCAGGGCCCTTCGGTCTAGAGTCACCACCAGCAGTCAGAGCCTATCGAGCTTGGCGATATTGAAGCGTCAAGCACCAACGTCGAGCCAGCAAAGCAACAGCAAAGACGTCGGCGAGCTCGGCGAACTACTACCCGAGTCTCTCCCGAGCTCAAAGGAAAAGAGGAGGTATACTCAGGTGAAGTGGAAGCAACCCCTCTCCTCTCAGTTTCTTCCCCGTTATCTCCAGAACTCCTTGTTGTCCCCATGCCAAGGGACTTTAAGCTCCCTTCACTGGACAAGTATGACGGATCCTTCGATCCAAATGACCATGTGGGCGCTTTCCAGTCCCAGATGCACCTGGCAAGAGCCAGCGAGTCCTGCATGTGTGTGGCCTTTTCCACCACCTTCAAATGGGGTAGCCCGCATCTAGTACCAAAACCTCGTACCCGGCTCGATAAGAAGTTGGGCGCAGTTCGTGCAAGTTTTCACCTCTCACTTCGTCACCAGCAAAAGGTGCCCGCGAACTCAGTAAAGCCTCCTCGGCATAGTGCAAAAGGAAGGGGAGTCCATCTGGAGCTACATCAAGCGGTTCAATGACGCTTGTTTGCAGATACCTGACCTGGATTCCGCAGTTCGCCTCACAGCAACCAAGCAAGGTATCACCCACAAAGAGTTCAGGTGGCACGTAGTTGTCAACCAGCCCAAGACCGTGACCGAGTTCCTGAAGCTCGCGGATCGGTTCATAGGGACAGAGGAGGAAATCAACCAGAAGGGCGAGCAAGCCCCAGAAAAAAGAAAGAGGGAGCTAGAACCTCCGCCTCAAGGCGACAACAGGAAGAAGAAGGACACAGCTCGGGGGGCAAGGCCAGTCCAACCCTTCCGAGCTCCAGCAGCAGAAAGGGACTATACACCCCTCAACGCGAAGCGGACCGAGATCCTCATGGCGATCAAGGATGCTCCATACGTGAAGTGGCCACCTCGGCTGAAGGCCGACCCTAGCGCCAGGAATAAAAACTTGTATTGTAACTTTCATAAAGATCACGGTCATAGTACCGAAAATTGTAAAAATCTCCGCGATGAGATAGAAGAACTCATCTGTCGCGGATATCTGACAAATTTTGTACAAAGTAATAATAATAATAATAAAGCAGGTCGACAAGGGGAGCAAAGTAGAGACGCTCCCGAGTCCAGCAGGCAAGCGGAACAGCCGCAGAAGCAGCCCCCCGAAGAGAGACCAGTTCGGGGGGTTCGATTGTGGCGGGCTGCACCTCAACGGTAGCTCGCGCATCAGCTCGCGCGCACGGTCCACTACCCCCATGACGACGCGCTCGTCATAAAGATGAAGATCAATGACTTCGAAGTTAGGCGCATCCTTGTCTATTCGGGCAGCTCGGC